GAAAGTTTAACTGGTGGATTATTTACTGCAATGTTTACTGAAATTGCTGGAGTTGGACAAGTATTTAAAGGTGGTTTTGTTGTTTACAGCAATGAAGCCAAAAGCAAATTAGTCAAGGTTTCTCAAAAAACCCTCCAAGAACAAGGAGCTATTAGTGCCCAATGTGCTGAGGAGATGGCTTCTAACACTCAACAATTATTAGGGACTGACTTAGCCATTAGTTTTACGGGCAATGCCGGATCTACTACCCAAGAAAATAAACCAGTAGGTTTGGTATATATTGGTTTGGCTATTAAAGGTGCTTTAATTAGTAAAGAATATCAGTTTTTTGGTTCACGGAGAGAGATTCGCCGGCAAGCAGTAGAAACCGGAATTATACTAATTAAGGATAATATATCGTTGCTAAAAAATAACTAAATGTCCAAATGTCCAGCATTCTCAATAAAAAAATTCTTCTTCCGGTTAGGTTAAAAAAATTACTTGTTAACTTTTATTTCTTTTCTTACTCTCATAATTAATTTTCCATAAATACAAACCAGCCGCAGGAGCAATATTTTTATACTTGTAATTTTCTTGATTAAAGTTAATTAATTTTTCTTTTAAGTCGTTAACGGTTTGCTTTCCTTCATAACCATTAATAACTTCCCCAACTATGGCTCGAATTTGGTAGCGAATAAAACTTTTAGCGATAATTCTAATAGTAATAATGTTTTTTCTTTTTCAACTTTTTAGGGAGTTAATTTCTCGTTCAGTATTTACTTTTTCCCGTTCTTGCCAACGACAATAAGCATAATTAAAAAAATTATGTTTGCCTTGGAAAATGTGGAGAATGCTGTTTAATTTTTTAATTTCGAGCGGTAAATTATACTCTCAACGATAATTCTTTTGAAAGATATCATATTTGCCAACATTAATAAAATAGCGATATTCTTTGTTGATCACTTGGCGAATCGGGTGAAAACCGTCATCTACTTTTTGAACTTTTTTGACTAGAACATATTTGCTAAGCACTTTTTTTAGTAAACTGAATAATCTTGCTTGGGAAAAAGGTAAATCGAGTCGCAAAGTAAATCTTTGTTCGCGGGCGTGAACTCCTTTATCGGTGCGGCTGGCGGCTAAAATACTAACTTTTTTTCTAAATATTTTGCTGAGAATGTTTTCAATATAACCTTGAATTGTGAACTTCTGGGGTTGTATGGCTCAGCCAGCGAAATTACTTCCATCATAAGCAACGGAAATTAAATAAGAATAAAATTTTTTTTCTTTTTGCTGCTCCATGAGACATTAAAATTAAAGCAAATTAATACTTATTTTAACCATTCTAAAACAAACATAATAAAACTATATATATAAAAATTAAAAATGTATTATGCCTAAATTAAACCAATATATAACCGAAAAAGCAGTCAAAGAAATTGAAAACTTACTTAACACCCAATTAAATGGTATAGGTAATATGAAAGAAACAAATGGCGGAAGTCGTAACCCTTTTTGAACTCATATGCATGAACGGGGTTATAACATGAAGCAGGTTTATCTACAACCAACCCATTTAAAGTATATTTTTGAAGAAAAAAAAGCCTTTATTAAATGGTTTTTAACCACCTATCCGGAATATAATGTGGCTTATAACCCCAAGAAACGTAATGAACAAAAACTTATAGAAACTAAGGGGATTACGGTGAAAAAAAGCTTTTTCGTAAAGCCTGCCCGCATTGCTCGGGAACGAGATTTATTATTTGGAACTAACAGCACCGAAATAGTAAATATAGATAATTGAAAAGAAAAAATTTGCAACGCTTCCACCGAAGAAGAAGTAGAAGATATTAAAGGACTACTTAATAGCGAATGAAAAGTTGATAATTTTGTTAATAATGTTAAGAAAAATATTGATGGTATGGTAGAAGCTGCTCAGCAACTACATGAAGAGGTAAACAGAAAAATGCCTCCAAAAAATTACCGACCTCCTCATAAAAGCGGTAATTGAAAAGATAGAGATTGAAATCATTTTTGTCCTTTAATGTTTAAATATAATTTGAATTTTTACACTAAGTATTGTTATAATCAAAAATTTAGAGAAAATTGAGCCAAGCAACGGTCAGAAAGTGCTTTTGGAAGTGCTCAGCATGGTTCCCAAAACGCTGAGGTTCAATTTCATCAAGTAGCAGGCATTGACTACTCCTATTTTGTCGCTTACAACTTACTAAAAAAACCGTTTGATACTCTTGTCGAGGAAGCCCGTCAAACTTCCGTGATGGCTGGGATGAATGAATATTGTAAAAAATATGAAAAATATACTCATAGTAATAGCAATTTTCCTCCCCGAGTTAACGATGGTAGCCAAACGTTCGAATTAGCATCCGACACACCCGAATTAGTATCTTGAAATCCAGTAATTTCTTCGCCAACTGAAAAACCAGTGGATAATTCTGACCAAACTGATTCTAATCCCAATTCGGATACTGATATAACTACTCCTGACACCTCTGAGGATGAAAAAGAATTAAATAAAGATAAAGTTAATGCTTCGGTTAAAAAGGATGCTAAAGCAGCAGAGGAAGACATGAAAGAGAAGTTGGCTACTTCCTTAAAACAAGCCCAAAGTGAAAATGCTACTGATGAAGTTCGAATTGATGCTATTTCAGAGGCTGTTAAAGTGTTTGGTAATCAAAACTGCCAAACTGAACAAGAGCAAGTAGAAATAGTAAAAAAAGCATTATTTCAAAATAACCCTGAGTTATACCGGCAAACCATGGTCAAAGAATTAGAAAAAGTTATGGTTTCTCAGGACATAACCGAAGAGGAGTTAAATTTAACTCCCGAATTAAAAACCACTTGAAACCAGTTAAAAAATGAAGAAATTAAGGAACAATCGCAAGTTGATGAAGTAGTTAAACAAATAAATATACAAATAATTCAGCAGGGAACTGCGAAAAAGATAGCTTATTTCAAAAAAAAAGTCCAAGAAGTTATCAAATCTGGTGATAAACAACAAATCTGGAATCTCTATCAAGAAGTATTATTAGAACGTGAAAAAATGAAAGTTAACACTTATCAAAAAGACAGTTATGAAAAGTCACAAGCTTTAATATCTGAGTTAGAGCGGGGGATAAGTGAACAACCTACTACGACTGACCCAGTTAATTCCTTTTTGCTTCCAACTCTTTTAGCAGTAGGAACTATTATATTATTAGTGGTTGGCTTGCTATTAATAAAACTTTGGGAAGCAAGAAAAAAGAAAAATAAATCCTCGAAAGGGAGTTATTAGAGAGACTAATTTTTAAAATTAGTGAAATAGTCAAATATCAACTCCATTCAAAAGTTTTATATAAGGTAAGAGCAAAAAAACCAAGAAGTAATAATATTAATCTAGGGGAAGTATTGAGAGAAGACTTTTTGCTCTGAAGTCAGCACCGGAAAAACTGGCGGCTAAAAATGAGAAAAAGGAGGGAAATTATTCCCCCTCCTCCGAGCATTTGGAATGCTCTATGGCTTTTTTTAGTCAGAAGTTTAAGCCTTAGGTGGTTAGATAGCATCCTAACTGCTCAGAAAAATATTCCTTTGTTATTGATAGGGGAAAATTTGACAAATGTTCATATAGATAAATAGTAAATAAGTAGGAACGAGGGCAAAGATTTTGCCAAATGAGAGAAAGATAAATAAGAATAAGAGAGAGTAATTAAAACTACTCCGCCAACCAATTAGTAAAGGAGTTTTGGAGTTGTTTGGTGCTTGCTCATTCTTTACTGAACTACTTTAAATAATCGTTTGTAATTCATATTTTCCTTTGCGAACCATCCTTACTTTTAATTAAATGCTGACTATATTCCAATAAATCCATTAAATTATGCTTTTATAAGAGTTTATTTAAATACTTTTATTAATCTCACTTATGTCTTAACACATTTTTTCCTTATTAAAAAAAAATTTTTGTTAAAGTAGGGAACTGATCCAAAAGATTAAGGCTTGGGTAAAAGAAAAGTCAAGGAAATAAAAATTGCTATCAGCACCATGTAAATATTACGGATGAAATTGGTTAGTTTAGTAAAATGGGTAGCTTTATAAATATTTTCTTTGCGTTCTTGGGCGGAAGAAAAACTATCTTCCTCTCCAAAAAAAAAAGAACAAATTATAATCACTATTCCCAAAATTCACAAGAATATTTTTAATATTGGCATAAAACTTATTAAATTATTTTAGGACTGACTTGCGTTGGCTTCACTCGAATAAGTTGTTCCAACTTGTTTTAAATAAGGAGTAAGAAGATAGTAATTTCACTTGCTTAAATGGCAACTTGTCACGTAAATAACTTCTTCTTGATCGCCCTTTTTTTGATAGACTGTGTAGTAAATAGGAGAAAATTTTTTCAACAATCTCAATCCCTTATTGCGATTTTCTTCGGTCAAGGAATGGAGACGAAGGAGAACAATTTGGTCGCGGGGGAAAATTTGGCTAATTAAGAAAGAAGAAAGAAAAATATAAACCATGGTTGCTCACAGTCGTTCATTATTAGTAATATAACTTAAATACTTCGGGAAGATACTTCTTTGCTGCTCCTTTTTGAGTTCATTAATTCTGTTCTCTAAATCATTCTTACGGCGGAGTTTTTTGGCTAATTTTTCTCCTTCAGCCTTGCCTATTTTTTTCTCAATTTTTTCTTTCTCTGCTTCTAATTTTGCCCCCCTTTCCTCGTCTGGTGCTAAATAGTAATATATTTCCTGAGGATAGTCTTCTAATTGCTGGAACCCAGTTTTGTTTCTGAAAAGAATAGTAAGCGAACGATTTTTTTCCCTAATTGCAAAAATTCTTTGAATGTTTTGTTTCTCTGTTTTTTTCAACTTTTTGACCTCCACCATATCCTTTTCTCAGTCACCCAAAATTTTCTCGATTTCTTTACCTTCTATTTTAAGTCCTTTTTCGCTTAATTTTTCTTTTTGCTCTTTAATTTCCTTTAACAGCAGACTTTTTCTCATTTTGGCATCACCTTCTACCATGGTAAAATTAAAGAGAGTAACTGCAAAGATAATAACTAGTCCGAATATTTTCATCAGTGAACTAATTGAAATTTTCTTTTTCCCTTCGCGAGAAGAAAAATGAGAAGTAAAAATTTCTAAACCGCCCGGAGTAGCTTGAGCTTGGAAAATTAAACTATACCCATAAGTGTGAATAATAGCCGCAACAATAGCGATAACTATATAATAAGGAAGGGTAAAAGACAATTGACTACTAGCACTCAACCCTTGCCAACTACTAGGATTAAAGCGATTGAAAACAAATTCTCTCAATTTAAGTAGTCCAAACAGTTGAGTCCAAATAATTTGGGATAAAACATAAAAAATTGAAGTGCTTATTATCTCTAACTTGGCTTTGAAAAACGCCCGTAAAACTAAAATAAAGAGTAAATTAGTTAATAAACCTAAACCATAATAAATAAGGTAATAACTAGTTCATCCAATCTTGGCACTTCGACCAACTATTAACTTAGAAATAACTTGCAAAAGTCCATTTAGCCCACTATTATAAAGGCCATTGGGGTCAATCAAAAAGTAAAAAGTAAGGGTGGTAAAAAAAGCTGCTAAAAAAACAATCGCTAACTTGCTTAAATACTTGAAAGTTAACTGTTTACCAGTTGGTTTTTTTAGCGGTTTTTCCAGATAAAGCCGACGAATAAATTCATTGTACTGCTGTCAAATGTTATAAGTGCTCTGAGATTGAGAGTCATTGCTAACTTCTATTTCTTTTTGGTTTTTTTTTATCTTTTTCATCAGAATTTTTTAATTTAGTAAAGGAGTATAAGGGGAAATTTGGTTGATAAAAATGTAGTTGATGTCTTCTCTTTGGAGTGAGTTTTTTTCTAAGAGTATTTCGGCTAATAATTTTAACACCTTTCTTTTTTTTTGCAAAATTTCTTTAACTTGTTTTCAACACTGGTTCATTATTTTTTCCCGCTCTTTCTCAATTTTTTGCTTGGCAGTTTCGGGTAATTCGAGCGGTATCTCTTCACCAGAAAAAAAAGACTCTTGGGTAGGAACAATTCCTAAATCTGACATTCCATAACGAAAAATTAAACTACGAACAATTTCAGAGGCTCGCTTGAAATCACTGTAAGCCCCCACAGTAATATATTCTAGACCAAAAACTAATTCTTCACTGGCTCGACCTCCCAACGAAGACATAACCTGAGCCAGCATTTGACTTTTATTAATTAAGTAGTCGTCATCACTTTCGCCATATAAATCAACTCAAGTGTATCCACCAGCCGACCAACGAGGGATGATAGTAACTTTTTTGACGATTGTTTCGGGCAAACTCATGCCAATCACCGCATGCCCAGCCTCATGGTAGGCCACTATTTTTTTTTTGGCGGGGGTTAGGGTTTGACTTGTCAAGGAAGGACCCATTAAGGTTCGATCATAAGCCTCAAAAATCATTTCATAATCAATAAATCTTTTATTATGGCGAATACTCAAAATAGAGGCTTCATTAAATATGTTAGCGATTTGAGCCCCACTCAATCCCTTAGTCATGGCAGCAATTTCCTCTAAATCAACATCGGATTTAATTGCTAACTTTCTAACACAAAGTCTAATAATCTCCCGTCGTCCTTTCAAATTAGGGAGAGGAATAAAAATTTGACGGTCAAACCGACCTGGTCTTAAAAGAGCACTATCTAAAACTCTTAAAGAATTGGTGGCTGCTAAGATGACAATATTGTCCCGAGGATGAAAGCCATCCAACTCATTCAACAACTGGTTTAAAGTTTGCTCTGCATGGCTAACACTAGTAGTGGAGTATCTTTTGCGACCAATCGCATCAATTTCATCAATAAAAACAATACAGCCCTGGGGATAACTACGAGCCTGATGAAAAAGTTCTCGCATGCGGCGAGCTCCCATCCCAACTACTGCTTCCTCAAATTCGGAACCAGAACGGAATAAAAAAGGCAGATGGCATTCTCCAGCCAATGCCTTAGCTAATAGAGTTTTACCATTACCGGGTGGTCCAACTAACAGTACCCCTTTTGGAACCTTTGCTCCTCGCTTTCAAAAAGATTGCGGATTATGAAAATAAGAAACCACTTCTCCTAATTCCTCCTTGGCTTCCTGTAAACCACCAATATCTTTAAATCCAATGCTAGGCACACTGCTCCTTTCAGTTTTCCTTTTTCAAGCCCGAAAGGGATAAGTAATTAATCCGATAAAATTGGTGCCGAACATCAAGTCAAAAGAACCCAGAGAAACCAAAGCAACAATTACTCAAAATATAAAATAAAAAACGCTTCAAATACTAAACGAAGACTCTTTTTCAAATAAGTTGTGCCGGTTGTCAATCTTAATAGTGGAAATTTTTACCTTGTTCTTATTGTCAAAATCTTTAAATTTTATGTCTTTATCTATTACTTCATGAGGTTCAAATTCACTAAGTGCGTAGTAAATTTTTTTTTTCCCAATCAGTCTTTTAAAAAAACTCTTCTCTTCCCCCTTTAGTTCATATTGCTTCTTTTTGTCTGAAAAAGGATGGTCGACAAAATTAGCCTCCGCTCAATCTATTTTATTAATTTCTTCTTTTTCTAGTCCGTAAACTTCTATGGTTTTTTCATCCTTTTTCATCATTCAAAAGGCTTGTTTGTCGAGTGGAGAAAAGTGTAAAAAAATAAAAAAAACTACTGTCGCAAGTAGGGTTAAAATTAGTAATAGACCTAGTCAATTTCCGGTTTCAGAAGGTTTTTTATTTTTTTTTGACAACTCTTTGTCTTTCATTATTTATGATATTAATATATTTTTAGGAGATAATAAAAATTTGATTGCCAGTTTTGACTAAGCGATAACCGCTCCCTAATTCGAGAATTAAATTGGTTTTTTTGCTTAAAAACAATTGTTTATAAACCTCACTAAGAAGTTTTTTTTTTCTCCTTTGAAGTATTCCACCAGTAACTTGGTTAATTCAAAAATAAAGTAAGCGCAAATATACCTCTGGTAAGTATTTAACCTCTCTATCAAGTTCAAGCATAGAAGGAGAAATAACTAGTTTTTTGGTAATAGTTTTAACTAGTTTTTTGGTTTTTCTCAATTCTCTGTTTTCTTCCTTAACTTCTTTTTCAAGGTTTTTTTTTTCTTCTTTACTTAAATTATCTAATTTCTGCCGAATAATATTGCGCTGATAAATTGGTAATTGGTTAGTAAAATCAACCGCATAATCTATTTTATTTTTAGTTAAATATTGGCAAATCTGCTGTTTATTAATAGACAAAAGAGGACGAATTATTCAATATTTTTCCTGTCTAGTTTTAGGTGGTAATCCTCAATATTCCACTAATGATTTTCGTTGTTTTTGGAATAAATAAGTTTCTAAATGGTCATCTAAATGGTGAGCTACCACTATATATTTAGTCTGATACTTATCGGCTATTTTTTGGAAAAAATCATAGCGAATTTGGCGGGCTCTACTTTGAAAATTATTAACTGAACTATACTCAGAGCCTTTTACTTGATAAATTTCACAAGATAAAGAATATTTTTGGCAATAATCTTTCACTAATTCTTCATCATAATCGCTATTTTCCCTTTTTTTATAATTGACATGAGCGACCACTGACTTATATCCCTCACCGCGCAACTTTTCTAACAAAAACATGCTATCGGAACCACCGGAAACGGCCAGGATATATACCTTATTTTTGGAAAGCGATTTATTATTTCTTTTCGTCATGGTAATCAACTAATTCTACTTCACAAAGTTTTCCTAGTTTTCAAACGAAGCATATTCGCCACTGGTCGTTAACTCGGATACTATATTAGCCTTTTCTCTTGCCTCTTAAAGGTTCCAAATCGGCACCAAATACCTCTTTCAATCCGTTTCAGTCATTAGCAAAAGAAAATAGCAAAACCATTTCTTCCCACGCTCTCTTTTGCAGTTCTTTACTTCATTTTTTCACAAAAACCCGCTTTCAAACTTTTTCAGTTTCCTTATCTCTGAACAACTTTATCACACTCATGTTTATTTTCCGGCTGGTAAGGTTGAATTTGCTTTTTGATTATATTTTCTTGTCTATCTTTTCAAATTTCCAAGTCGTAAATCTGCTGTAAATTCAAAAATC